TCATTTTCTCCCATTGAGCCACACTTCTTCGTCTCAATCTTTCCACCACTGATCCATTTACCGCAAACTCACGCGCAAACCACATTCGGCCACTTGCGAGATCCGCACTCTGTCTGTTGGTGGTCCATTAAGGAAGGGGTTCAGAGAGAAGCACCAAAAATTTTATAATCCAACTAGAAAATGAGTAAAACTACTCATTTTAAAATGTCCCTCTCATGTTTTCCCTCCATGTTCTTGCACGCCTTGAGTCCGCATAAACCCAAATAAGCGTGGGTAGTGAAGAAGTGGTGAGAGTTCACTCTGCACCGCCTTTTCACTACCCTGTCGCTTTGGAAAAGTAGAAAAATGGTTTGAGGCTTATTCTAACAACGTCATTATTTTGGTTCTGTTTGCTCTATTTTGTGTTTATTAAAAGAGCCACCACAACAAAAGATTTTTTCCCTAGTCTCTCGTGGGTGTGTGGCGTTGGCAAGTGCATAAAATAGACCATCAACGTCATGACCGCTCTGCGGGGTGGGTTTGGGAAAAACGCTCCGGAAGTTCACTAAACTGCCTCTGCACTCCACCTCGCTATCACTGTCCACTTTTCCCTGCTCCGTAGCTCGTCTAATGTACTGTATGAATATTTTTATTCTTACCGCGACTCTTTGGTGGGCAAACAGGGCAGATTTTTATTTTAGAGCTCTGATGAGTTCTCAGGAGCATCGAGAGGATGTCAATCAACAGTATTTGTAGGCGACATAAATTACAAAAGAGACTTTTAGATTTGCTTTTAGAGGTAAATAGCACCAAAAACGGGATAAAGAAATATACAATTACGTCGTAATTTGACTTCCAGGGAAAAACGATGTGAAATATTAATCACTATACACGTCAGGTTCTTATCAATGATGCTATTTTTCTTCTGTATGCTTGATTCTGGTCTTCTTTGACCGTTTCCACGAAAAAAATCGCTAGCCAACCACCGATTTGAATGGCATTATTACTGGAATGCATGCTTCATAATTTCAACAATTGGAACGCCAGTACGAAGAGTGACTTCTTGAATTGAAATATTAACGTAGCTCTCAATCTGGCATTCCAGTGCACTCCGATGCCGCTGAATTAATCATATGTTTGGTGTGGTGTTTCGGGGATTGGTGCCTCGCAGCCGATGAAAGGAATGAAAGGGCGCCCTGTTCGGCGTGGGTGGCTGTTATGCTGTGTGGTGCGATTTTATGAAAATCAACTAGGAGAGCAGCAAAGGTGCGGCGTCGGGGGGAGTTGAAATGTGAATTTAAAACAAAACTACTGGCTTCCATATATTGCAGATGGCAGATGTTGCGGTTGGGAATTTGTCCTCGCCCGCGCGCTCGCCATATAGCAATTTCATGTGACTTTCAACTTCATATTGTTTTGCTGTATATTCTATTTCTATTGTTCCCTTCTCTTTTCCCACCCATGATTTCTTTTTTTTTTTTAAAGCTCATCTAACTCCTGCGGAAAAAGTGGACGCTTTAGGAGTGTATAGAGAGAGAGTGAATGTCGCACGGTGCGACTGCGTCTGGCTTTAGATATCTCATTTTATCCGTATACTAAATGCAGAGAGACAAGTTTTCTATATATTTCACCATTTCATATTATTTCGCCATACATGCATTCAGTCTCTCATGGCTTGGCGTACACAAATTTCACACTGGGAGGGTGGCGAGGGATTTGTCATCATAAAAGTGAAGTGTATTCCTACTGAGAGTAATATGTTGAATCGTAAATTTGCACTTGAGTTGATTTGAAAACCATATCATTTAAAGTATTCATGTGTCCTCAGAGATTTATCCACAAATGCGACTACTATTCTCACAACGGAGAGACAGCATTAATGACAAATCTGCTTTCGGTATTGCTAACGATATCACCATAATTCAATTCACTGATTATTTCGAATGCATGAAGCGAGAATTTCTGCTGCAAGAAAGTCCATCGAAATATAATTCTGATCGGAGAACGTCAAAGATCTTTATCATCATCATTATAGCGACAGCTTAGGAATCTCTGTCACAAGTATTGCCAGCAGTATTATTGCAACACGCTGTGTTGGGAAATATTTATAAATATCTCCTTCGGAGCGTGCAATTTTGACTCTCCACTAAGACGTCAGACTGCACTCATGGCGAAGAACATGTGGCCTAGGAAAAAATAACACTCAAGACACTATCACGTCCTGCCACGAGAGCATCATCGTCCAAAAGTCTCTTATGGTGTTGGGCTTTTGCTCCCAGAGTCAGTTGAATTTCCCTCAAACTGTGCATGGGAAAGCAGTGAAAGAGACATGCATAGTGAGGCTTTGAAGCATTCATGGCAAGAGACTGGCATTTAGCCAAACGACTCCCAATCATTTGGAGTGTGAGTCTGTGGGAATTCAAGTGAGACGAAGAATGCCTTATCATGCAAAATAGGCGATGCACACAACACACTTAACTCATGGTAGCATACAAAGAGCGTTTTGGGCTGAGAAGCGAGGGAGAAAAAACGAAAGCCACCACCAATTTCTTCCCGGATGCAAGAAAGATCTTTTCAATTTCACCTTCCCGCCTCATATCAGTGGGTGTATATCTTTTATTCTAGCCAACACACACGATTCCGCTTAAATTTAATCACTTTACACAAGACTTTACATTTAATCTGATGGAAAAGAGCGTGAAAGGCACCATTGAATTAGCATGAAATTTATTGTTGCAAAGCCAGCGCTGAGGATGAGATGTCTGGGATGTGGAAGACAGAGAATTGCCTACACTGTTTGGCTTATCACAAGAACAAAGAAGATGTGGCAAATGTGATCTATTGCCTGTATTGCTTCTGTGGTCCATTAAAATCCACACGCTTTCGCATGATGCAGCATGGAATGAGTGACAATTGAGTATTGATGGATGAATGACGGCAGCAAGTGAAACATAATCAGCAGGAGTTCCAATAATTAATGCAGGGCGAATTGTGCCGGATGATAAGAGTGTCTGGCAATTTAGCATCGGAATGACGGGATGTTGATGACATGGGTAGAGGCCAGCAACACTTCTTCATCCATGGATGAAAATTCTGTATGCATAAGCTTTTAATTCATCAAGTGCAAACAATTATCGTAGGCGATACAGCCCAGGCCGGCCGCCCTTCGCCGCACACGGCGTCCCCAATGGCGATAGGGGTATATTTGAGAGGCACACACACACTCTGTGATGATTTGGGAATCGTGACGGGGAATATATTTTGGCGATTATCGGGTCTCTAATCGAGGCTGATGTGCCAGAGGTGAGAGAGAACAAGACACATCCTCTCGGCATGTTTGTCAAGTTTGAGAGACGCTCGGGTGTGGAATTGATGACGATCACACTACAAACTTTTATTAGAATTATGGATTCGACACAAATCACACTCCTTCCACGCATCCTTTCAGCTCTGCACATCAATATTTTAGGTTAATTTTAATTACGGTGCTTTTGAAGTATAATTAGTCGATGATTTCCTAAAGAAACATTATATGGATTTAATTTATAAATAAATGTGACTCGAATTCGAGCGCATCAATTAAATAATTATGTGTCGGATAGAATGAAAAACATTATTTCCTGTAATTAGTTTACATTTGCAATTTATTGACGATATCCCATTTCAAATGCATGAAGCATTGCCCAAAATATTATCAAATTTCGTGTAAAGTCAATTTGCATACAATTTTTCATAAACTCGATGAGCCCGAAAAGTCGATAAGCAAAATAGAGAATGTTTCTTAGACTGTCACGAGTTTCTGGAGTTTCTGAAGCTTCTCCAAGAACCACCTCATAGTCATTGGGATTGAATTGTTCACCAATCTTTGCACTTGTAGCCCACATTGTAAACACATTCTTCACTAAACCCCAAATCTCTGTGGCCAAAAGATGGTCTCACATCAGTGGTTTTTGTATATTTACTCAATGGCTTCTCAATTGATTTCCACTAGTTGTGAAAAAATCATTAAACTTCCACCTCGCGAGGCAATATTCTCAGTTCTTTATCGCGAGCTTCCTTTGAAGCCAGACTTTTTATTGCATGTGATATCGCGCTTCGCTATGATGATTTGGGTACTTTATCTCCGGATGCTTATTTGTAATAAATCTCCCTCCAGATGAAATAACTGTGCGCCAAGTGGGAACGATGCGTGAAAGGTACCAAACTGTGATTTTGGCATTTTCTTAATTTAAATGGAAAACTCCACCACCCACAGTTCTATAAATAAAATGAAACAGAAATTGAGTTGAAGAGCACACACATGATGTGTGTATCTTCTCAGATGTTGTACGTGAAGTGTTTTAAATGTGTGAATAAGTACATGAGACTCTGTCTTGTCTCTCCTGTTGGGATCAATCTCACACCGATTGATCCCAACTTTTCAGCGACTCTTCGTCACGGCATCATTTATTCAGTGTTATTTTGCTAATTCATTTAATTCCGGATTTATAGCAGAAGGATTTTACCGTGTTTCATGATGTTTGTCTTTGGAGTGAGACACGGTTTTTGGGAAAGTTCACAGCTAATTTTGAAACTGCGATGAAATTCGGGAAAAGCCTCGTCAGAAGTGAACAGAGTTTGTATACAGTCTGGTTTCAATCGGAGACAAGATGTGGAAAAAATAATCCGTGAGCGTTTCTGTGCTTGAAATTGGTTATTTACACCACCAGATTTATTTATATTGACGGAGTAGCTTACGCGTAATTTACTCTCATTCGGCGCTTCACCTGCGTATTGGAAGTGGGAGAGGTTTTACAAGAACACTCATCGGTTGAGAAATCATTTCACATTCACAATTCTCACTGTGATAGTCTCAGTGGATTTTTTCCTGTATTTTCCGTGTTCTCCAACACACTTGTCAGTGTCTTTTCCACACCTTAAGTACTTGTAAAGAAAAAGACATGTTTTTCTTAGTTATTGAAAAAAAAAGTGTCTAATTTGTAGTGATTAATGCTGATAGACATTGTCCTCTCTTCTTTCAGACGAATATCGGGGAAAATGCACTCTTGTCTCACAACTCCCGGAGCTTGACTATTGCCAGGTGAGTTTTATCAAAGGTTAAATCAGAAATTAATAGCTGATTTCCATTTAGGGGAATCAATTATGGCAGAAGGAGGCCCTGTGGCAAGTGAAGTGAATTGGAAGATCTTTTGAATTGTGAAATCCCCTATTCAAACAAATCAATGGTTCATTCTCCATTCAAGCCTATTGAATTTTCCACAGGGAAATGTGCAAAATTCCTATGAATGTGTCTCCGAAAATGAGACATACTTGGCTCAAATTTGACGATGTTCACCTAAAATTAGAAATAAGAGTGAAAATTTCAGAACAGACGACGTGTTTATGAAGAGTGTGTGGTTTTTGGTATATTTTTCTTTTTAACTCCCCGTTTAATTGCAAACCAACCGCATTTTTATAACACTGTGACGCTTATTTTACACATAGCTTTTTTGTCACTAATGTGTTGGCTGTTTTGGCGGAAAAATTGAATGGCATGTGTGGAAAAATGTGTGACATTTTTGACTGGGGGGAAATTCGACGCCAGCAGCGGTGTTTCAGTTGTTGGATGTTTTTCCCAGTAACGAGATATTCATGTTGGAGTTGGGAAAGGGTTCAAATTAAAATGGACTCAGTGAGTTGTTACGTGGCGCAACACCCTAATTTGAGAGTGCGGAGGTCTTTTTCTGGCAAACACGAGTCTTGTTTTCGCTATTTTTTGATGCACAAAAGTTTCAGCTATAAAATCTTCGGAGATTCCTCAGTGTGAGTCGTTAAATTTTGGGGGCGGCGACAGAGGCTAAGCGTGAGTGTGGGAAAAATCAAATCTTGAGCAACACTTAGAGAGAAAATCCATCATTAAACAGTGCCAGCGCTGCTCATCCGATGAGATTTCCTGCTCACATAGAAAGAGAGTCTCATGACACTCATCAACATTCATCAATATTATAATATGGAAATATCTCAACACTTTTCCCAGTCACGTTCGTCCCATTATCCATAAATCTCTGGTAATTATTTCTAATTACACACCATCCCGGCTAATCAAACAGCAGAAAGCATCCAGTGGAGTTTCCGTCAGATGAAAATCTGTGTGGGGTTCGCCGCATGTCGTCTTTCCCATCAAGTCTGACACATTCAATGAAAAAGCAGTCACCACCCATCACTGCCGCTCTCACGCCCACACTCCAAAACACCCCCTGGAAAATTGAGGATGGAAAATTTATCTTGCCCCAAGGTGTTTACATAATTTTGCGGCTGCTTTCAGTCACTTTATAGACATTATTATGAACCTCACCTCACCGTCTCGCAAACAGCATGAGTTTTGAGTGACACCGCAACTTTTTCACTAAATACTCTCACCCTCTTGTTTAGGGTTTCGCCAGAGGAGCACCCCAACAACTGGGTTCCCCACAATCTCCGCCACTCATTTCACCTGTTGTTCCTCAAATGCCACCACAATCAAACTCCAGACCGAAGCAAAGTTGGGGCTTTGCGTGCTGTTCCACTCTGCTAATCACAATTCACCACATTGCGACAAGTTCCTCATCAAGAGTGTCTCCATTTTTTTCTGATTCTGCTTGATTAAACATTATATAATTGTGAATTCATTACTTAGAGAAATCAAGAAGAAAGTCATTTTCCTTTTTATCAATAACCGCGATTTTTCCGAATGTGGTTCTGTGGTTATGGAATGGTGTGCAAATAGATTATTATTACGTGACAATTGCGCAATTGTAGATCTAAGAAAACATGAGTTATGCATAACGACATTGACGCTCTTTAAAGTCTTTAAGCGCGCACTCTCCTGAAGTGTCAGTCTGGGAATGCAGGAAACGCAATAAACTGCTTAAATCAGTTCCACGCGAGTTCCAGCCGGAGCATGTAAACCTCTTCATTATGGCTGGAGGATTGTGGAAAAATTCTCTGAAGTGCAGTAATGCTGTGTTGAAATATCAAAAGTTACGATTCACTCGGGATATCGTAGATTTCGATCAACATTTTTATTACTTAGACAACGAGTGACTTGTTGAGGGCTGGAATGTCGAGCGGAAAAATCCGAATGGGGGATGATTCTCTGCATATGCACGTGGGGCGCATGAATTGAAATGAATGAAAGTTTGCCCAAGGAAAAGTTATGTGAAAACACACACATTTCTTGGACGTGAGGCGAGGGTGCGATTCTGAGGGGCGCGTAATATGAATAAATGCATTCAAAGGTAAAATATATTTGACTTTGAGCTTGTTTAAGGTGGCAGAACCTGGCGTGTGCAATGAAATAAAACAGGTGTTGCACCCAGAAGGTTGTATCTTTGCTCTCTCAGTCGCGCTCGCGCGAAGCGACTGGCAAAATTTATGGAATTCAGTCAAAATTGCAAGAGACAGAGTTTGAGTAAGTTTTCAATTGCAATATTTCACCCCCAAGTCCTCTCAAAATGGAGCACTTTTGAGTGTGGAGATGAGTATGAAATTTATTCAATAAACCACAATTTATCATTTTGTGTGGGTGGAATTGTTTATTCACATCTCACACAGTTTTTTTTCACCTCACTTTTGAGTGCTTGTCATGGCATTTGCACACCTTCCTCCACGTGAGTCCATAAATAAATTTGACAAATAAAACCGGAGGGAAAATTCTCACCTTTTTATCTATTTATGCAGTTTTTTGCTGTGGCGTTGCGTCTGCGGGAAATTGCGTTGTGTATCATTCACGGTTTTTTGTGCTCTCCCTTCCTCTCTCTCTCTCTCTCTCGTGTGATAACAACCCACCATAATCACTCGGGGGAGTTATAAATATTGCAACAACTATTTTCAACAACTCCAAATAAATAAAGGTGAATAACATCATCCGCAGGGGATATTCTGGCTTGAAGTTGAGACCAGTACACATCAGAGAAACATAAAACCATTTCATTCAACAACCTAACTTTGAGTGAAGTGCGCAAGAAGCGGTTTCTGAAACTCTCTATAAATCATGGAGTATTTTAGATTTTTAGGCAAGTTGTGAGTGAATCTGAGAAGTTAGATGAGTGTGTATTTTCCGTAAAATTAAAGACAGCCAGAATTCTGTTCACACAGTGTGCAAATCTGGGGCTTACGTATCATCGAATCAGAGGTCAAATTCACAACAAATTATTTTGCGTTTCATATTTGCAATGCCCTCTAGCTCTTTTCCACATTTGGTGGCGATGGAGAAGCACTTGTGCTTTTTGCTGTTTGTTACAGGAAGTGTGTAAAATGGAATATGAAAATGTAATTTCATCATCTCTCACTTGTTCACAAGCTCCACTTTTTCCCATTCATGCGGAGTATTTTTCTGAAACCCAATAAAATGCCCCGAAAGGATGTGAATGAATTGGAAATACTAGAATTTCTACTCTGGTTTTCACGTGTGAATCATGTCAAAAGTCAGCTTGGGGGTGCGAGTTTGGAAAGGCGAGAGAACAGCAAATTGACATTAAAATTGAGTTGCTCTCTTAACTTGCTTTTGGAGCGTGTGAATGATTTTATTTTGGGCTGTTTGCCACGTGATTGCTGATTGATTGCCCAGTCGCTGAGTTGTCTTTTCTTGCGTTGCAGGGACCAGCATCGAGCGCGACCAGGGGCACTAAGAGGACTGGCGTGTGCAGAGACAAACCACCAATCAAGCCAGATGCAGCATCGAACGGGGGGCAGTTCATCATCGGGCTTCCACATGAGCCTCTATGGATGGCGAAAAAAATGCCTTTACACGCTAATACTAGGATTAATGCTACTCATTGTCGTCAATTTAGCACTCACTCTGTGGATCCTCAAAGTCATGGAATTTTCTTCGGTGAGTTCATGAAATTATGTATTAATAAATATAAAATTTCTTGCGCTCGTGAAATACAAGACAATCTCGGATTAATGACTGTGTTGACTGAAACGCAATATTGTGCAATTGTTCTGATACAAAACTGAAATTCTTATATGATTTTCACTGGGATCATTTTGCAAATCGGAAATCCGCGCTCAGTGAGAGAGACTTTCTCATGTCCCATTAAAATAATTGCACCTTGCAATTCTATGCTAAAGGTGGAGAGAAGGGAGCAAGATTCCTTCCGTCGCGTTAATTAGACCTCGAGGGTGATTTTCTGAGACTAACGCACAAAGATTCTCATGCTCTTCTTGTCGCCACCGCTCTATTTCACACGGAAGCGCCATTCAGGGAATGCACACCAGCGAGGAACATCCTGCTGCTCCCCTTTGTACCAATATTTTCCGCCAAAATCCCTGAATGCATACACACAGCCTCTGTGTGGCGGCAGAAACGCAAGGATTTTGCACAGCATCGAGGATCGCGTGAAGCAATTTAACTGCAAATTAGAATTTAAATTGGACACACATTTCAGTTGGGATTTACCCGAACCTGGTCACTCTGTATGGCTCACATTTTTACAGTATGTGATTAAAAGCATCACAGGCAATGTAGGAAAATTCCACACCAATATTGAATTCACACACAGGATAGCTTTGAATTAGAGAGGATTTCACTCAGTTTTTACGCTACCTTCTCTTTGGTCTCAATTCTACGCTCCTGGCCAAATTTTCTCATTTCCTCCCATCCATTTTTTGGCATCCACTGAAAATTCTTCTCGTGAGAAAATCACAGTGAATATTATTGGGGGGAAAATTGGAATTAAATGGACGAAATTATTCGATTAGGTGCTGTTGAAATTGCCACGACAGGTGAAAAGGAAAAAAAGAGTGCTGTCGACGGTATTGTACACTTTTTCCATACCCGGAAGGGGACTAAAATCATGCCAAAAATCCCATCATCCCCGCACGAGATAGTGGTGCATTCCAATTAAACCTAAAATGACAGTTGCCCGGAGATATCGCCGTGGAAAATCTCTGCTGATGAAAAAAGCGAGTCTCACGATGGAAATAAGCTCAGTTGAGGTGGAGTGCAAAATTATTCTAATTTTTCTCTCTCAGCAGCATCCAAAAACTGTGCTCTTTATCTTTGTTTTGGCATCTCATGTGCAGAACACAAACAATGCGGATTGCGCCTCTCGTGCACATCGTCATTTTCACTCACAACACTCGCAAAGGATATTGCAGAGTGCTTACTTCTAGGGACAATTTTAAAACTGGGAAAACCTCGAGCGCATCGCTTTCAATGCCAACAAAATCTTCTGTTGTCTAAGTGGAAAGAGTCTCTTTTCAATTAAGTTGTAATGATTTTTGGGTAGTTTGAGGAAAATCAACGAAACGTCTGCTAAGAGAAATAAAGTCTGTTATTGATGCATGTTGAAAGAATTGTACTACTCAAAGGGAAGATAATATGCCTCAAATCAGTTTGTGTAAAAGTAGAGAAACTGTCTGATTGATAAAAATAGTAGCGAGTTGTTCTCATCATACATAAAAGTCAAGTAATATTTCTTAATTGCTAATACTTTAAGTGTGAATAGATGGATTTTACTATGGTTTATTTAATTTCTTCTTGTCAGGAGGGAATGGGTCAATTGAAGGTGGTCGCTGGCGGTCTTCAACTCTCCGGTCAAGCGCTGGTTTTAGATATTTTGCGTGCTTCCACGATTCGTTCGCGTCACGCTCAATCAATCTCCATTGAATCATCGAGGAACTTCTCAGTGAACACCCGAGACTCCGAGGGCTTCATCGAGAATCAACTCTTCCTGGGCCACGATCGTGTGGAGTGTCTAGCTAGTGGATTCCGCGTCACGGACACTCATGGCGGTAATCTGTTCGCTGTGGACAGGGACGAAGTGGCTATCGGAGCAAATGCTCTGAGGATCGACGGAGAAGGCGGCGCCATATTCCGTGAATCAATTCAGACGCCTCTCGTAAGAGCAGATGCAGGCCGCGAGCTGAGGTGAGAGTTTGATTGGTGGGAAGTCGAGTGCAATCCATTAATTTGAATTCTGGTTTTCAGGCTCGAATCTCCCACCAGATCTCTGGAGATGAGAGCATCGCAGGAGATATTCATTCAGTCGCGCGCTGGAAGTTTGGATGCAACGTGTCTCAACGATTTGAAATTACACTCTATAGCTGGAAGTGTGAGTTTTTTTTCACGTTTCCCATTCAATTTTTCCCAATTACTCTCCGTCTGACTAATTAACGAATGGGATTGGAAGTTTTAAAAGCATTCTCTCCGCAGATCCGTCTCGATTCGGCTAATATCTTGATGCCCAATCTCAAAACTGCCCAACCACCCACCAACCAGGCCGGCCTCTCGTCCACTCTCCTCGGCGGACGACCAGAGCATCAGGTGCACAACAAGGTGTATCAATTGTGTGCCTGCGCCAGTGGCAAGCTCTTCCTGGCCGCGCCTCACAGTGTCTGTGCCGGCGACGATTCCACCGTCTGTAGATGATTCTGCTTTCCACCGTGTGTTTTGCGTATCACTGTCTACTTTTCCCGAGTAGATTTGATGACATAAACCTACAATGAGATGACATTTCACCTTTTTCTTTGCTGCCTCATCCAAATTAATTTCAAATGCTGTTCACTGAATAGAAATATAAAAAAAAATCTAGGAAAGACAATGAGACAAGTAACATAATAAATTCTTAAAAATATTTTATACTAACTGAAAGGAAATTAGTTTTCTGTTCTTTAGAATCTCAACAACCACGCGAAGAAAGGATAATTATGAAAATGGCCTACAAGACATTTTTTCGAGAAAAGAAGTCGTTGTGTGTGAAAAAAGTTGGTGTTTTAATGAAAAAAGTTTAGAGAACTTAGCAAATAATGCAAAATATACCAGAACAAAAATGTGAAAACCGCGAATATCATAATAAAGGTGAGGAAGTTCACGTAGATTTTGAGGTGTCTAATTAGTAAGAAGAACAATGTAAAAAATAATTATTATAATTTCTCTACAAAGAGAGACAGGACATAAAATATTAGTGTATAGATTGAAGGAAGGCGAGATGAAGAAAAACACATTAACATATCCACAAGAAATGAGAGTAAAACTTTGTCGCTTCAAGAGAAAAAAACATTTGTAGAAGTATGTAGAAATTTTTTATATAATTCTCAGTTGTTTCCTTATTTTGTAATTTTATTGACGAGTCTCGACGAGATGATGGAAAAAATATATGAAACTGTAAAATATGTATAAAGTGCTGAAGTACACTAATTCTTCTAACTACTAAAACACTGTTCCGAGTATCTCACGTTTGAGGTGGAAAAGACTGGTGGAAGAGACTCAAGTGCTTGAGCGGAAACTTCATGGAATTATGCTGGGAAATCTTATTACATTTTCCACTCGACAGCTGGAAAATTGAAAATATGGTGACCGAAAATGGTATTTTGACGAAATAATTCATCACAGAGGAAAGCTATGTGGATGGGCAGGTAAACAAGAGTCAGAAGAGTCTTTTGTGCGCCATCAACAAGAGTCTGTGCATTTCACCCGGCAGCGCACCGAGATAAGAAGATTAGCAATGATGAGAAAATTACGCCTGACCGATGTCTCACTTATTTGTCATATTTTCCCTTGACTTTCTTCCTTCCGCTTGACAATGTTAGGAAGGGACAAATTGGCGGAAAGGACTGCTAAAGAAGCTTTTAAAAATGCAATTTTTCTCCTAAGCACACCTCTCAAACGTAGAGTTGGCGAGAATTTTCATCCCCTTTTCTAGTCATTGTCGTTTTCGATGGACGTCACGGAAAAAGAATGGGAAAATCGTTGTAGTTCTTTAGCGTGGAAAATTATTATGTTGACTTGCGCCTGAGAGGATTTACACTCCCGGAAATTGTGCATTTTATGTAGGAGACAGTCAAGAAAGGAATCGTCAACGGTGAGTAGAGTTGCACCGAATATAGATTGGATTTACAATATTCCGAGTAATTTTGACGTTTTATTTGAGTTCAGACAGAAACTTGGATAGACACAAGAATTTTAAGTACTTTAACATACTTTTTAACTCATACAATCTTACATTACACAAGTCACGTTAACAGAATTAAACACTAAAATTAATGTATTAATTACATCTAATTTTCAAATATATTCTACATTTTATCCAAAGATAATAACAGAATTCCCCGAGTTTCAACTCTGATCATTCTGTATGAAAATGTGGTTTTCCCTTTCAACACCGCGCAGACTGAGGGAAAAAATGATGGGAAAAGCTCTTCAGCATTAAGTAAATCCGACAGATTTAATCACCACGTAAATCATCGGCATGTTATCCGTGTACCCACGAGAGAATGTTTTATTATTTAATAATCCTGAGCTTTTGGCGGCCAAAGAGAAATATGTGTGAGCTTTTCTTTCATCGCGCCATGAGGAATTTCCTCCAAACGCGCGTTGAAATTGCACTAATTTAATACGGAAAATGAGGTCGTATAGGCTAATATTTTTTATCTCTCTCTCGCTCCCTTTCCATTCACATCCCTAGGTTTTTTCCTAGACGGGAATTTCATTGGTTTCCTCCGCTGTTCCTTGGCAAATTGTTCTGTGGGTGGCAGAGAAATTTGCTTTTCTCATTGAGTTTGAAGGGAGGCAGCAAAGGAAGGCCAAAGGAACGAATTGTTTGCCACGATAGTGAGTCTCAAAGTCAATGTGTTTTTCCTCATTCTTTTCTTCTTTCTGCCAGAGTGGGTGGGGTTGACTTGAGGGAGTATCTTTTCGTGAATTACCAGAGGAAATGTCGAGGGTGCGCGTTTTTTATTATTGCGCGAAGAGCAGGGAATTATTTCATTGATGAAATGTGTGAGTGTTTGCTGCGAAAGCCTCCAATTTACCATTTCTCCGCGAAAGATGTGCGTATATCGCAATGCCTGTGGGGTGTGAGTTGAATTGAGGGGTCGGAAAATGGCAGAGGAAAAGTAGCAAAATGCTTCAGCAAATTATCTATTTGAGGGATGAATTAATCAAATTGAAATGGGCGCGATGCTCATTTGAATGGTGAAATTTAATTATTCATGGCAGGAAGAAGCACAAGTTTACATTTTCCATACAAACGCACTGTCCACTATTTGGGAAAGTCGAAGGACACAGAGGTTTCATAGAAGTGGATAAGAGGCCCTAATCCTTTCTGCATAAATTGTACATATTTCTCAATACTGCCCCGTCTTATCTCAGAGTTTCCAGCGTATAAATAATTAAATGGACACAATTTCCAGTATCGCCCCGAAGCAACACACAAGAGAGCTTCTTAAGGTTTTGTGTCCGTTCCACCCATAAGATTTCCCTTATGTTTGGGATTATTTATTGCACAGACGAGGGCAGATATTTCTACTCTACTCTGAATAGTCTCCCATTTCTTATGGCACACTCCAGGTCGATTCACGTGTCTGAATGAGAGACTAGAAAATATTGTAATTAAAAATCATGCAGTTGTAATTTATGTTAGAATGAAGCATGAATTTCTGCAAGAAAAGACTATAAAAACAAGAAGCAGAAAAGGTACTTCAACAAATCACTGAAAGACATGCGAGTGGCATTTTGAGATCATGAAAAAGATTCCCCTATAAATCACACTGAGATAATTCAATTAAACTCTCATGGAATTTAGCATAAGAGCAACTCTCGTAAATTATTGCACATACTCTCTCATGGAGGAGAATAATTTTTTGGGTAGCATGACTCAGTTTGTGAGTGGAAAAGTGAGAATTAATTTGTCGACTTTTTCTTCATCTTCGAGATCCCGTGCGTTGCATTAAAAAGTGTTTAGGGATAATTTAGAAGAGTGTGACCTAAAGCAAGTCTCTTATTCGCCAGGTGTTTTCCTGGCTCCACAAACACTAGGGTAATTTGAAACTCTATATAGTCCATAAAGAGAAAAATAACCTCTGTGGGCCAATTAAGGGAAAAAATGATGTAGATTCACCCTTGATCTCGTCAGTGATTTTTTTTTATGCGACTCCACCTAATAATCTTGTGTTCTTCCACGGCATTATGTTAATGATAATTTATACGAAGGAGTAAACTTTTCACATTTTGTGGTGAAAATCAAAATTGATTGCAATTGTTGTTACTCTTGTGAGTTTTAGTTTTCCGACAATCTGAGTCGTTTGGGCGATGCAGACCAACTGAAGCATCGAAGAAACTAACACCTCTTGCATAATGAAAATTTTTTCTTCCATAGGAAAGAAATCACGTTGAGACTTTATAGTAATATGAAAAGTTTAAATTATTAAGTTTGATTTTTTGCAGAACATTTGGGAACCGGCGAAGCTCAAGAGTCTCTCTCGGACTGAAATAAAAATGTTGACACGGGGAATCTTAATGTTTCGGTCAGTGTTGTGAGAAGTCAGAGTGAATAAATTCTTTCGCTCACCCAAAGAATATGTTAAGAAGTTATGCAAAGCGACGTAAGGGGGAAAAGTAGCATTTTCTTGCTATTCATCGCCGGTGGGTTCATTCAGCCCCTCCTCGGCGGCTATTGCGCCTGGGCTGGAGGGATGGTTTGTTTGGCATTTCCAGCCGTGCGACAGGGTGGTTGCTAGTGTTGCACGTAATCACCGACAAATTTACTGCATTCTTGCTATGCAAATTACACACAGAGAGACAATTAACAACCCTTGAAATGCGCTTTCTCACTCACCCTAAAAATGACTGTGCCAAACGACAACGATTTTATACTTGACCAAGGCGATAGTGTTACAAGAAATGGTGTACAAGCTCCGAGATAATTTGCGAAGAAACTTAATTAGAGATGACTCGTAAATCGTACACCACTTGTCGCAAGAGCACACTCCTTGCCCTCCTTCGAGTGTTCCTCTTGAAAAATAATGTGTCGCAAAACGCTATCTGTGTGCTATGTATGTACATATGCAAGAACACTCGGTGGCGAAAGACAATGGTGTGAGAGGAGTTCAGGCTGAAATAAACTTGCCTCATTTATTTTCTAGAGAAATGGCTAAATAACTGGAATATTTGATACTCTTCCATCTCTTCGCGCTGTAATTCGAGAAAATTTAATATAGACAAATACTGTGAGGGGTGCTATTTTTGCATACACGCAGGGAGACGCCTGAAATTGTGTCACATGTGAAGAGGCAAAATTAATTTTGCCCTCCAACTTGTGCTCTTCAACTCAAGTGATTTCTAAGATGAAAAATCATTTCGCAGACACGCGAGCGAGACTCCATATAAACATTTAAGGGATGCTCTTCCCAGCTCGCAGATTGCGAGGGTGGAATGCATTGGGGGCGGATGGAGAGAAGGTTTGTTTAACTAAAAGCATAAAACACCTGTCACCCTCTTAAAAAACACTTTTGCCTATTTCCTCTTCCTGCTCTTGCAATCTGCGGTGGTGGCAAAAAACTGCGAAAGGGAAGCGCTGAAATGCTTTAATAAAAAGAATGTAATCTTCATTTCGCTACAACACATTCATTTCTCTTATGATATTCCTACAAATTGTAGTGTTTTATAGGAGTTTCCTACAAAATTATAGAGCTGTTGTCAGCCTCCACTCTATGTGTCATCCAAATTAAACAGTTTAATTATGATATTGGGAGTACTATACCGAATGGTAAATGTAAATATTTAAGTACATAACAATATTATTTGCTTACGAGCTGTGAAATCCTCAATGAAATGTGAATGTGCACATATTATGTTGTGGCAGTAGTTTTTATTCGGAATTGAAAACATGCATGCGTAAATTAAGTCCCTTTTATCTCATTTACGGGTTGAATGTGTTCTCTGGGTCAATTTGGGAAATGATGTGATAAGCTAAAAGTGTAGTATTTTCAATAACAATTTTTTTGGAAATAGAGTGGGCAAATTTTCATCACAAATTTGAAGTATTTACGATATTCAACAAATAAAACAATTAAAACACGAATTGAAAAAGTTAGGGTGATTTCTGAGGTTTGCTTGTGTATTTTTCTCTTGAGTTATTATTGGAAAGGAGAGAAAAGTTAATGAGAGGGATTTTAGTTCCAACTCAGTAACTAAAATAAAATTTCAACTTCCCGCTGTTGAGAATTGCTTAATCTAATTTTCTTAAAGTGGCTATTTTGGGGCGGGTTTTTGGTAAGGAAAGCGACACACATTGGCGATAAGTGTAATATTGGTCTTTTGGGGTCAAGAGTTGCAAATTTTGCCATTTGTTTGCCGACCAAATCAAGGGTGAGATGCGGCAAGGGGGTGAGATCTGTGTTC